TGGGTGCCTGCACCCGGGGGCCTGGCCTGGAGGCCTCTACATCCCTTTGGTTCTTGTCCATCTTAACCTCACTAATGCCCTGAGTGGCACTTACCTTCTCCCACGGGCTCGTCTGCAGAGAGAAGTGCCCCCCCACTTTAAAAAATGCCTTTTGTGGGGATCCCTGGGTGGCGCAGCAGTTTAGCATCTGCGTTTGGCCCAGGGCACGTTCCTGGAGACCCGGGATCGAATCCCACGTCAGGCTCCCGGTGCATGGAGCCTGCTTCTCCCTCTGCCTGTGTCTCTGCCTCTCTCTCTCTCTCTGTGACTATTATAAACAAATAAAAATAAAAAAAATAAAAATAAAAAATGCCTTTGTGCCAGCGACTCAGAACCCCTGCCTTTTGCTGCCAGTTGCAGCCTCAGGGCGTCTGAACGCAGAGGGTGGCAGCCATGCGCTGGGGATTGGCTGCCTCGGGGACCGGGACGACTGCCGCGGACACGCTGTGAAGCCCTGTGGACTGTCTGTTCCCAGGTGTGGTCGGAGAAGAGACCGGCGTGGTCCTCCAGCCCGGGTGGCTTCTTTAATCCCTTTGGAACGTGTCTTCGGAATCTTCCCAGCGGCACCGGGACACGCTCCCGGCCGCCGCCCGCCTCTGCGCCCTGCTGCACCTGCAGCCCTCCCCGGGGGCCCTCTGCGCCCTCTTGGGCTGTCCTCCCCGCCCTCCCCAGTGCCCTCCACGCCCTCCCCGGTTGCCCTCTGCACCCTCCTTGGCTGTCCTCCCCACCCTCCCTGGGTGCCCTCCCCAGGTGCCCTCCTCAACTGCCCTCCCTGCCCTCCACGGGCATCCTCCGTGCCCTCCCCAGCTGCCCTCTGCACCCTCCCTGGGTGCCATCCCCGACTGCCCTCCGCACCCTCCCTGGGTGCCCTCCCTGGCTGCCCTCCGTGCCCTCCCGGGCTGCCCTCCCCGGCTGCCCTCCGTGCCCTCCCCCGCCCACTCCGTCCTCTGCCTTCCTGGCAGCCCGAGAACAGGGTTGGCCCGTTAGTCGCCTTCTGCTCCTCTTTCTGCCGCTGGGAGTGGGATTGGGACGTGGGGACGGAGCTGGAGAGACCAGCGCAGGCATTAGATCCGCTGTTTCCTGGGGCCCTAGGTACTTAGCGACCTGGGTGTGTTCACCCGAAGTCCAAAGCAGTGACCAGCCAAGATCTCCATCACCTTCAGTGGTTCTGGGGGAGCAGTTCCAACGTCCTCTCCGGTTTCTGAGCCAAGACCAGCCAGAGAAGGCTTGTGCTGCAGGAAGACCTAGCGCTCAGCGAGGCGTGGGCCGCAGGCTCCAGACCTGTCCCCAGGCTCCACTCCAAGGAGGGTGTCTGTGGAGCTGCGGCCCCAAGCATCCCTGCGAGGGGCCTCAGTAAGCTTTGTTGGCCAGGTGGCCACCTGGCAGATGCAGGTAACAGGAGCCGGTGACAGGAGAAGCTGAGGACAGCCGGCGGTGGGGCCTGGTGTTCCCGCTCAGCCTGTGGGCCTCAGAGCAGCAGCAAGGAGACCCCTGGGCACTGGTGAGAGATGCAGAGCCCCAGGTCCTGTCCTGCTCTAGACCTACTAGGTCAGAATCTGTATTTTTTTAGATCCTAGAGGAATTTATACGCAAATTAAAATCTGAGAGGCACTTTATAGTACAAACTTGACAAAATTCATTTTCTCCCTTAACGAGGTAGTATTGTCCTAAGGATCCCCATTTTACACAGAACATTCTCTTCCTTCTTCCCTTTTTTGCTGTCATGTAATTGTCCCATAAAACCAGCATTACAGAAAACACATTCCCACGTTCCAGAGGGCTGCTGTGTTGTCCTGTAATTCCTGGACGAAGGCCCCGGGCCCCGGCCGCTCATACAAATGCAAAGAATTACCCAGGGTCCAGGCGCTCTGGCCTCCATCTTCTTTGAGGAGATTCCTTCCTCTTGCAAAAGCCAACACTTCTAGGTTGACGGGCATCCATAAATCTGCCTTCTCGGGGGCTTAAGACACGTGTCTGGTGTATACTGTGCAGCACGATACGGATCTATCTCATTCTCTCCAAGGAAAGGGGGTCGGTGACCCTGCCTGAGGCTCCTGCCAGGCCTCCTGCTGGTGGCTTTTTGTTTGGCCAAACGCAGTGAGGTTTAATTACTTGCAGCAAATGTACTCTAGCATGTTTTGAAAAAATCATGGCCTCTTAGTAGGAGGAAGGCAGAATTTTGATCCTGTCACACTTTCTCATTGCAGAAAAGGTACACTTGGGACATTGTTTTGGTGTGTTTGATTTCATTGTTAAACAATCCTTAAAAATACTTAGACAGGGGGCGCCTGGGTGGCTCAGTCAGCGAAGTGTCTGCCTTTGGCTCAGGTCGTGATCCCGGAGTCCTGGGATCAAGCCCTACATCCGGCTCCCTGCTCATCGGGAAGCTGGCTTCTCCCTCTCCTCGCTGCTTGTGCTCTTTCTTACTATCTCTGCTACTATCTCTCTCTCTCAAATAAATAAATAAGATCTTAAAAAAAATACTTAGATTGGTTAACCAACATCATTTCAATAATTGAGGTTATTTTTATCTTTATAGACTTTCTGAAACAAGTGATCTTAGAATCTCCTTCGACTGTGAGGTTCTGTTAAGTCTAAGAGAAATATGGAAGAAAAGATGAGAAGATGTTTCTATTCCTCTAATAAATCTTGAGGAATTAGGATATGAACCAGGCTGAAAGATTAAATGTCTGCTGTTGTGGAGGTCTTGCACCCAGGATCACCACCCCAAGATCCTGGTGAATAGGGCCCTGCCCCAGCTCCGGGGGTGCCATGTTCTGAAGCGCCTTCCTTAGTATGTTCTAAGTCCTCCTCTGGTTCCTGGTAGCAGTCTAGGCGAGCTATCCCATTCAGGAGGGATGCCCCCATTCTAGATGAGGGTATGGCCTGTCCTGGACTCCATTTTCCCCCACAGGGTGTGTTTCCAACTTCTACCCTCAGCTATTCTTCATATGAATTCAGCCAGATTCCCAAGATCACCAAACTTACATCTGTGTGCTGGTCTGGGACCTAGTCCACAGTTCCAGGTTCTATGAGGGTGGCGAAGGATTCCTCCACCTGGCAGTGCAGGATTTCTTTCATGTAATTGCATGAGATTGGGCTACCCAATGGTGCTGATATTGGATGACTCCAACTGTTTATATAGAGAGCGGCCCCTTGAAAAATATTTTTCCAGGAAACCCACAATTGTACAGGAAACCCATCCCAAGTACATCTTGGGATGTACTTGGTAACTGATGGCAGAGCCTGGGTGGTTGGGACTTAGGGTAGGAGATAGGAGCAAGGAAGGCAACAGGAGCTGAGAGGCAAGTGGTCTGAGGAAATGGGCAGGGTGGGTGGAAACTCCCCAAGGCTCAGACTGGGAGCCAAATCAGGATGCTAAAGCTCCTGCCACCCTACCCCCTGCCCGTCACCCTACCTTTCACCTTCCCACTGTTCCACATCCATAGTGGACCTAGACTTATTGATGGAACACCCATTCGGGAGCAATATACCTATATGGGGGTGTGAGGAAAGCTATAAAGAGTTTTTATCCTCCTGAAAACTATTTTCACTCTAAAGCCTGGAGCACAAAAAAAAGTTAAGCAGCAGACCTATAAGAAATGCAAATGACTGTCCTTCCTGGCCTTTGTGTTGGCTGAGTTTTCACTGGAGCCTGGTGCTTTGACAGAACTGAAAACATTTGGGGTTTCAAGACACAGACTCTGTTCTCTTTGCACTGAACCCCACACGGTGTGGCAGGGGTGGGGTGGGAGGATAAGGGATAAGACAGAGGGGCCAGGTTGTTGTAAGACACATAATGGTGTTTGCAAACAATGTACATTTTGTGACCCCACAATATTTTGGTTTTTTCTTTAATACTTATTTTTTTTTAATTTTTATTAATTTATGATAGTCACAGAGAGAGAGAGAGAGAGAGGCAGAGACACAGGCAGAGGGAGAAGCAGGCTCCATGCACCGGGAGCCCGACGTGGGACTCGATCCAGGGTCTCCAGGATCGCGCCCTGGGTCAAAGACAGACGCTAAACCACTGCGCCACCCAGGGATCCCCCCACAATATTTTGGATTATGAATTCCAAGCTTCACAAGTGCCTAGGAATAGGGCCTCCAGGCTCTAGGCTCTAGGCTGTTCTAGTAACCATGGATCCATCATTTGGGGCTACAGCATTCATTTTATGTTGGCAAACATTCATTGAGCACTTAATGCATAGCAGTTATAAAATGCTTCTGTATTCATTCTTTCTCCAGTTCATCTTTTCCAGGACATGTTGAAACCAAACCAACCAATTTGTATCTCTCTGTATTAAACTATTAGATGGACATTAATCCTAGAAGTAGTTAGTAGTTTGTATGTTCTGTAGCCAAAGGAGGTGGACAGAGTGGGAGGGATAATCTCAAGCAGGCTCTACACCCAGCGTGGCTCCCAACTAGAGGCTGGATCCTGTGACCCTGAGATCATGACCTGAGCCAAAATCAAGAGCCGGACGCTTAACCGGCTGAGCCACCCAGGCACCCGGCAAAAGAATTTCTACATAATAAAAAATTAAGATGCCCATACTAATATATTCTAAGGTTATTCCCACATTTTAAATTATATTATCAATCAGAACAAACCTCTTTAAAATATCAAAGTTTCGTAATGTGCTGGGTATTTCACATGTATTCTCTTAGTTAATCCTCATAATATCAGAAACATAATGAAAACCTTTTCTTTTTAAATGGTCTGAAAAGTTAAAGTGAGTTGGACAAAAACACAATGACCCAAGACTCAAGCAGAGAATTTCTTTTCCCAAATGCTGTACTATTTGGTCAACATGGTATCTTATACCCTTTGACTCAATGTTCAAACGCTATTTTTACAGCTTTTTGTATTCCTTCCCCTACAAGCTCAAGATGTGACTATAGTTCCGTCCCTGGCTTCACAGTTTCTTGATTGTTTCTGTCTCTTTCTTTCCTCCCAGAAGGCCAGGGTTTTGTGAGTGAGGATGAATACCTGGAAATCTCTGACATCAAACGTGACCAGTCTGGGGAGTATGAATGCAGCGCCTTGAATGATGTGGCCGCACCTGATGTGCGGAAAGTAAAAATCACTGTAAACTGTGAGTTGACCCATTGTCAGGAAGTTTCAGGGAAAAGGAGAACATAGGGACTGAGGGAACAAGCTGGTCATGGCAATGCCATATTCTGATCGCCCCAAATTGTTTCCAACAGGAAAATACTGTCTCAGATTGCTTTGCACCATGACTGTCCCCATTTGCCATTTTGCCCCTGGAGTTTACCTGTGCCCATCAGAGCTTTTAGCTAATGGGGAGGATTGTTTGCTTTGAATTGGTTAGAAGGCTTGAGAAGATGCTGAAGTAAATGCAATATCCTCAACCCAGAAATTATTTTCCCAAAATAAACAGTTATTTACTGGGAAGGTGGGGGTGGCACAAGAAATCCATTTGTACAGCAGGTGACTCAATGTGCCTTTCATCTGTTTCATGAAATCACTCTGCATTTTCCTCCTGCAGACCCTCCCTATATCTCAAAAGCCAAGAACACTGGTGTGTCCGTTGGTCAAAAGGGTATCTTGAGCTGTGAAGCTTCTGCAGTGCCTATGGCTGAATTCCAGTGGTTCAAGGAAGATACCAGGTACCTCGAAAATGGGAATAGAGCATACCTGATGCAGAGCTGATGGGTCATTCCCCACATGGAAAGGGAATGATAAAGGAAAGGGGAAAGATATGACAAAACCAAAATGGATTAGTCCCCTTTGTAAAAGAGTCTCCCTCTTAGAGCTAGAAACACACAAACAAACAAACATCAAGGATGCTGGCGAGTGGGAAAATGAATTGACCTCATTTCAGAATCTGAGATTAGTTGTAGGGATCTCTGTCTACTATTTCACGCTAATGGTAGAACCAGACCAGCAATACCTTCTCTTATTGCAGGCTAGCCACCGGCCTGGGCGGCGTGAGGATTGAGAACAAAGGCCGCATATCCACTCTGACTTTCTTCAATGTTTCAGAAAAGGATTATGGGAACTATACTTGTGTGGCCACAAACAAGCTTGGAAATACCAACGCCAGCATCACACTGTATGGTGAGTGCAGGAAGCCTGGATGCAGTGGGCTCAGCCAGGAGGGAGAGCTCCGGGACTGTGGAGGGAGGAAGGCTCGATATGCTTGGCCTGTGTCCATCCATACTGCTCAGCCTACCCCCCTTTGATACAGAATGCTTCTCCCTATCATTCTCCTAAGCATGTGATACAGTGATGTTTGCAAAGGGATTGATATCTCCTGGTCCATTGAAAGGCAAGGTTTGCACCTTACAAAAGGAGTAAACCCAATTCTGAACCAAGTTGAACTGTGGTTGCCGCAAAGAACACAGAACCATGGAACAGTTCAACTGTAGTATCTAAAGGTCTGTGGGGTTAAGCTAGAAACAATTTTAAGATGCCTTCTTAGGAGGACTCTGTGATTCTGGGGGTTATAGTTGTAGATTTCAACCGACTCAACTCCTGCCATCATGATTCTCAGTTGACTGCCATGTCATGTTCTCCCTCATTGGAGTGGATGGAGCAGTAGTCTGAGTCCTCATCAAGACAACTGTTCTGCCCACAGCTGAGCATCAAACCCTTCTCTGAAGGTCTTTCCCTCCCGTATGGATGGAGAGGTCTCCAGAGCCCTGACCGGCTCCCTTGGAAGCCCATATCTCCCCCTCCCTCCACCATCCCCCTTGCTATGTCCATGTCCTTGTGCAACACTTCACACCATGTGCCAGGGCCAGCTCGTTGTGATATTTTGCGTGTATATGTATTTGTCTATTTGCTGAGGTTTGGTTAGAGGTGAGCGGGATGAAAAGGTATTCATTTTCCCGTGTGTATCTCAGACCCTGAACGAGCTTTCAGCGTTGACATTAACGAAACTTTGTCCACCAACCATCTGAAATGTGTGATCTATGTCTTTTGTTTTCTCTCTGCATTGTGTGTGCATTGTGCTGTGTGTGTCTTAGAAATAAGCCCCTCATCAGCAGTGGCAGGTGGGTACAGCATGTTCCTTCCTTCCTCTGCCTGCCTGAATGCCTTTGCTTTTGAATCTAAGCCTACTTCAAAGATAGGCTTGCCTGCTCCACCTCCCCGACTTATTTGTCCTTAGTAGATAGACTTCAGGGGGTTTGGTTTGCACAGATTAGGTGATAAGCATGTAGAATATGATGGCTTTCACATACACACTCATATCAATACATATTTTGGGGAAGGGGTTTTCCCCAAAATCGATACACTTTGACTTGGTGGCCTGTAAAATAGACGAGTATTCTCCTACTTTTGCACATAGCAGCACCAAGGGGAACTCAGCCCAGAAATGAAATGGATTATCAAATGATGGTCTCCTTGGGAAAGTCACCCTAGTATGGGCGTTCTATTCTTTTAGCTCAAGGCAAAAAGGGATAATGAGTTAATTCTACAAAATTCATTTTAAAATAGAAGTATTGGGGGTCATTATTCATAATAATAGTAATAATATCCACCATTTTCCCAAATATTTACTGGTTTCTAGGCATTATGTTAGTACTGTACAAAATAGGATATTAAGTCCATTTTAACAACAAGTAAAAGGAAAACTAGTGAGGTTAAGTAGCACTGAAGTACATGTACCCGTGAGTAGGTGCTAAATGAAACCCAGAATGGGGCCCTCCATCAGATCCTGGGTGCACAGGGTGTGATGGACACACGTGCACACTCACATACTTGCATGTACCATTAGATGAAGCAGCAGCAGGTGCCAAACTGTGCTTCCAGAGGCAGCAGCCTCACAGCCCTACTTCCCTGTAGTCCATCTCAGTCACATAAAAAGTGGATTTTCCATACCTGGAGTCAGCTCTGTGACTTTTCATAGCTCTGGATCTAGGACAACCACAGGCCATTAGTGCTGCCCAGGCCTTGAGATCTGTGAATGTCCATCTCTTGGTCTTGATAAAACTGAGGGAAGGTTAGGATGAGTATGATACTCTGACCCTCATTCCGCCATCACCCTGTCAGTGGGGTCATGCGGGGTATTGAATGTGGCCAAGAGAGGAATCTTGAACTGACAACCAGGTAATCTAGGTTCTTGTGCCTCCCTACCACTAACAAGAAAGGTGTGTCATAGCAGATAGCAACAGAAAAGGTATACTAAGACTGCTAGCCTGCTGGGCGTGCCATGACAAAGTCTTGTCGGTTGGGTAGGCTTAAACAACAGAAATGTGTTTCCTCACAATTCTGGAGGCCAGGAATCCAGGATCTAGCCAGGAAGATCTATCATCTGTTTTTTGATGGCGGCTCTCTTCCTGGCTTGTAGATGACCCCTTTGTCCTCTCCTGGCCATTCTTCTGAGTGTGTGTCGTCTATAGAGAGATACAGACAGAAATGGCAGAGAGGGGAGGGGAAAGAGAGGGCTTTCTCGCATGTCTTCTTATTAGAACCCTAATGCTATGAAATCAGAGCCCTACCACCTAACCTCATGTAACCTTAAGTACTTCCTTGTAGGCCCCATCTCCAAATACACATTGGGGGTTAGGTCTTCAACACATGAATGTGGGGAGATATAATTCAGTCTATAGGGAAGCCATAGCTTCATATCCCAATTCGGCCAGCCACATGCCAACCACTTAATGTTGCTGAGCCTTACCATCCTCATGTGTGCTATTGGGATAGCGATACCTTCTTTAGAAGGCTGGTGAGAGGACGGTGTAGGTCTTACAGAGAGAGAGCCTGACAGGTGCTGTGTTCAGATGCATGACTTTGAGAACACACAAAGTCTTTGGGCCTCATCTGACTCAGCTAAAACTGGGGTGATACTTCCTGGCCTACTGACTGTCATTGTGAATTATCTCTAAGACAATGTTTACCATGGAGGCATGACAAACTGGAACTGTTGTAGAAAAGCAAGGTACCACGGTTACTTCTGCTGCTTGCCCACACTTGTGACACAGCCCGTCTTATCACTGCTTCCCGTGGTACGGCTGCCAAGAATGTCGCTTGACTGGACTGCGCATCCCTTTCTTCCAGAGTCTTTTGTGCCCTTTACTGCAGCACCACCAATCCCTGTAATCCACCCAGCCTGCTTCACCTGGTTGGTACCCACTGACCTTCCAGCATCCCTTCCTGAGGGAAGCCTTCCCTGACCTCTATGAGTAGGTCAGTCCTCCGTTGTACACCCTCTCACATGATGGTTCTGAAGGCTCTCTTACCAAGGGCACTCACTCGCATTCATTCAGCAAGTACGTGTCAGTACCTACTGCAAATAGGGCACCGGCACCGTTCTCAGTGAGGAGGACACAAGAGTCCCCAACAGCTACAGTCCTTGTCCTAGAGCTCCACTTGCTAGTTGCAATTATGCAGTTTGTTTGATTAAAGACTTTCCTCCCTTCAAGCCTGTGTGCTCCATGAATGTAGGGACCATGTCTGGTTTGATCCTTAGAACCCAGCACACAGTATGGGTCAGAAAAATCTTATTGAATGACTGAACATGTATATAGAGACCGGAGGGTTGTGTTGGCGTTGCCAGCAGCAGGAATTCAGATGCCAGGGATGAAGTATGGCAGGATGGAGTAGGGTCTATAGACTCAGAGCTTCTCTGAAGCCAGGCTGTACTGCTCACTGGCTGAATGGCTCTGGGGGAGACAATCTCAGTGCCTTATTTCTTTCATCAGTGCAAGTATTTTAGAAAAGATGTCCTATGATTATCTGACACTATGCCTGACAGGAAATAGGTTAACACAAGATCAAAATGACATTGTCCAGTTGACCCACCCTTTCTGCTGACCATGAGTGTTCCTTCTAGTTCTCAGTATTCCCATAATTATGGCTAACTAGTGTTACCAACCACTTACTACATGCAGAGCCACTAGACTAAGTGTTCTATGTGTTTTATCTCATTTACTGACTCTAGAAAGTCAGTACTGTATTTATCCCGATTTTACAGAGGATGAAATTGAGACATTAGGCAGGTTACTCAACTCATAGTGGCTTACACATGTTTGAGCTGAGATTTAAACCTATGTACTATGGTTCCAGTGTCTGAGCTCTTTCTCCTATTTTGATCCAACTCACCATACTTGGCAACCCAACATGGACATTGGTGGATGTCCTTCCAGATGGATACCCGTGTCAACAATTAGCCTGCTTGGACCCATTTCCCACACCAGCATCTCCTGTCTTCCATCTAAAATCTGAACCCATTCTGTAGTAAACATAGGGGCACATAAATCTTTTTGAATTAGTGTTTTCATTTTTGCTGGGTAAATACCCAGTAATGGAATTAATGGATCATATGGTAATTCTTTTTTTTTTTTTTTATTTTTTTGAGGAACTCTCATGCTGTTTTCCACAGTGGCTGCACCGATTTGCATTCCCAACAACAGTGCATGAAGGTTCCTCAAAATAATTTAAAAAAAAACAAAAAAGAAATCCGAGCCCATTCTTTTAAAGGATGATTTTTTTACATTTACAGCCCATATACTCATACTTCCCCTATACGCCCCCCACCCCTACATATGTCCTCAGGCATACCTTGGTGTTTGCCCTCAAAGACTATAGAATTGTTTTTGGAGACCCTTTTGACTCTGCACTGTGACCCCATCACAACACACAGTCATAACAGGTCTCTTGCACAAACACATCTTTATCTATTTCCTACCAACATGCAAAGAACAAGGGGAAGTGGGATGAAAGCAGTTTCAAAAGAACACATAAGACAAAGCCTGTGAGCCAGTGGGCTGGCGGGCAGGTTGAGGCAGGGTGTGATGGGGCGGGCGGGGAGAGACACGCAGGTGGGTAGGCCACACGCAGAGACAAATCAGTGGTTGGCGCTGACATGAGGTGTTTCTTCCCGGCATGCCTGTTGCCGCCCCTTCAAAAGCCACAGCGACAGCACAGGTCAGGGAGGCAGAGTGCAGCTCAGAGTGTCACTTGCGACCGCTCGTGTGCCTTCGCGCCCGGCCCCCGCGGTCCTGGGAAGGCACCAGAACTCTGCGAGAGCAGGAGCAAGGAAAACAGTGCTCTGGTCCCGACCCTGCTTCAAACAAAGAGATGCTCTCTGTTCCCTGGTTGCTTGTGAGATG